CAGCCGGAGCCCGGCGAGAGAGCCGGATCGCAAGGGCCGCCGGGAGTTGTGGTTCCGGGAGGCTTGTTGTGATGGTGACGCAGCGTCCACGCGGCCGGCCCGTCCTGTCCCGGCCCTCTCTCCGTCCTCTGCGCCGCTTCTGTCCTCACGCGCCTTCCTTGACACGCCAGATCCTGCAGTCGGGGCTTGCCTTTAGGGCACCGCGCGTGCTTGGCTGGGTGGCGGTTTGTCGGATCACCCCAGCTCTTAAAACTTCCCTGCCCCGCGACCATTCCACGCAGCACTCGGATCAGCTGGGCGGGAGGGGGGGAGCCGTGTCCAGGGTCCCACCACGGGGCCTCCCCCGCCCCACATTAGCCAGGAGCGTAGCCTCCTCAGTGGCAGCACCCCCGCCCCATCTCATCTCCCCCCCAAGGAAGACACACCTGTTCACGCGGCGGAGTTCCTGGAGAACAGCTGCTCCAGAAGCAGCGATGTCGGTCCCAGCTGCGTCCCTTCTTTTCAAACAATTCCTTTCATTTTCTCCCACCTACCTTCCAAAAGAGATCGCCGGTTTTACCACGCTGATTTTACTGGACGCTGGTTTTATTGCTCTTCGCTAAGAGAAACCGCGGAGGAAGAGCGCGCCAGACAGTGACGCCGCTCCCACCCATAAGCGTCCCCTCCCAGATCAACACGTTACAACGTGCGCTGGGCAACGTGGGAACCCCGTCAAACAGGGCAGAAGCGCTTCTCAAAAGTCTTGGTGGGATGGAGAAAGTGCCAGAGGAGAAGGGGGAGGGCATTCTCGACCTTTCTTTGTTGTGAGTGTGTATAAAAGCAGGAACCTCGAAGTGGGCGACAGCTGCGTGCTTTGCTCCAGAGGATAAGGATCATGGAAGAACAGGGAAACCTGGGCACCCGTGTGCCCAAAGGGGAGATAAAATCTGTTAAGTGGTTGGGTGAAAGAGAGGCCAGAAAAATTATTGGGCTGTTTGGAGACAGGAGACTGAATACAGAGGGAGGTTGGGGATCATCGACTTAGAAAAAGATTCGTCGGCTTCGTTTCGTCGTACTCAGATATGGCAAAGGAATGGATATAAATCCCAAAGCGTGACTGATTTCATAAAGAGTGAAGGAGAGACGGAAGAAGAGAGTTTCTGATTACAGAGCAGTGCTTCTCAGCCCTAGTCACTTAGCCACGCCCATGGCTGGCTGGGGAATTCTGGAAGTTGAAGTCCACACCTCTTAAAGCAGCCAAGGCTGAGAAACATTGGGATGGAACCATTTTTAGAAGTACCAAGAGTGTGTCTTAGAGGAAAAAGTAGGCATGGAAGAAAAGGAAAGGAATGAAAGGTGAGATCTGGTTTAAGACCGAGTTCTGTTCCCAAGGTCTGTCCTTAAGTCGAATTTGTACATAAGCCGGAAACATATTATTGCGTAATACTGAGTAAATAGTATTGTGTAATGATCTCAAACCATTCTGTATTTAACTTGAATCACTCTGTATTTAACTTGAATTTTGCTACAATAGGCTCCGTCCTGAACTATGGGTCGTCTGTGACCCGGACGTTCTTCACCCGGGGACTACCTGTATGCAGTTGTAGAAAGATTGCAGAACGAGACACCATGACTTCTGTGACAAGAGTATTAGAAAATCCTCTCTCTAGGAAAAGAAACGGAATGTGGACCTACAGAAACTGGAAACTGCTGGAACAGGGTGAGAAAAATTAAGTGCACCCCCAAAGTGTGTGGAGTTGCGCTAATGGGAAGGATGGACTCCTTCCTTCCCTCCCTCCCTTCCTTTCTTTCCAACTTGTAAGCCACCCATCTCCCCCAGGGAGTGACTCTCGGTGGCTCACAATTAAAGTAAAACCTGAAAACAGTTAAAAATATACATATCCACATTAATTAGTTAAAAAGTCAGACTACATAAAAATATCATACACATAAAAAAGACTAAAAACATTCAAAATGATGGGGAGGGTAGAATCAATGCAAACGAATCCCACAGATCCTGGCTTCCGGAATTCTTTCCAACCCCTTTATCAGCAGTAACCATAGTTGGCGCCTCTCTTCTCCTTCCGTGTTGCATGCGTGCCCTGCCTATGCACCTCTTGGAATCATGTGACCGGGAGGGAGGGGGGCTTGAAGTTGAGCAGTTGGCAGTGTTCCAAGCTGCTCCCCAAATCCTCTCCCACAGGGATAGACTGTGGGGTTTTTTTCTCTGTACCTGCTAGCTGGACCTGAACCCACTTTTGAACTTGATCTTTCTTTTGGGACCCCGCCCACTGGATACAGACCAAACGTGGTCCAATTTTGTTCAATTTTCAGAACATTATTGTGTTGGCGGAGAGACAGACAAACAGGCGGGCAGACCCACATTCTGCTGGGCTGCAAAGAATGAAAAAGGACGCTTGGGAGAAATAAGAGGTAAAAGCAATTGCGGATGAGGAAAAAACGCCTACAAAGGCATGATAGTTGCACAGAATGAGGAGGGGGAAAAGGTTCCGCAAAGGGGGTCTCCAGAGCAACAAGAATGGCAGAGAATGTGGCCCGAGAGAGCCAGGGACAGTTAAGATTCAAAGAGGCAGAGAATAGGTAGTGCAATTTTGAAACGAGAATTCAGGTAAAGGGCTAAGCAAAGGTGCCTCCAGTAGAATGAAGGACATTAAAAATAAAAGTGATAAAGTGTTTCTGGGGGAAACTGTAGTCAGCTGGGAGGAGCATTAATGAGAAACAGTAGAACTGAAACAGATGTTGTAATACGGTGTATTTTAGGCATACTGGTGAAAATTCTCTTTTGGAGAGTGATTAAGACAGTCTTAATCAGACATCAACGCACTTATAATTCTATCTTATTTATTCATACACATTTTAATGGATGCCTACCATTTCTATAGTAAGCCATCTGCATTCGCTTCAGTAGGTGGCATATAATGGTTGATGGAAATTAAATGTTAGTTTCCAAGAAAAAATGATGACACAAGAAGTCACAGATGCTGTGAGAAGGTTGAAAAATGGCAAGGCTGCAGGTGTAGATGGTGCAACCGGAGAAGCATTCAACTAGGGATGTGATTTGCCTACGGCCTGCCTGTACAGTGTGTGAAGAGTGCATCTGCGCCTGACCCTGAAGGGAAGCTGCCCTGTTTCCCCTCTCCAAAGAGAAACATTGCAAGAGTGAAGGTAAACACTACAGAAGAAGAGGTGCTGAAAGCGCAGACAGTTGTATGTCAACAGACACAATCAAACGGAGAGGATGTAAATCGGAGTCATTATTGGTGGTTAGCTTGCTAAGCATTGAGGTGTGCAGATAAAACCACTTTGTTAGCAAAGTGAGAAAGTCTTGGAGGAGCTCATTATGAAAGTAAAAGTAAAAAATGGAAAGTGAAAAACGCGGTTTAATGTTAAATAAGGAGAACAAAAGCAGGGCAACCCGCCTGTTTGTCACAGTTGCAGTTGAAGAAAATGGCCTGGGCTTTTCTTTTCGGGGGTTCCAGCAGAGATAAAGAGGGCGGGGGTGCCGGGGAAATAAAGGGGCTCAATCTAGGGCGGGAGGGAAGAGCGCGGCGGGTATTGCGCGGCCACAAAGATCCGAAGCCCGGATCTGCGGCGGGGGGAAGAAGAGAAAGGCC